CAGCCGAAGCCAACGCCCCAGACAACGGCATGGCACTCAACGCCTCCACATCCTCCACAAGCCAGTCCGAGGACAACTCAAGAAGGGAAAAAAGCAAAAGACTGGAGGCCAGATGGCCACAAGCGTGAAGATCCTCTGCAACCAAGGCAGCAGAAAAGGGGGGGGGACCTGAGCGTGCAACTGGAGCTAGCCAACTTCACAAGGAAGCACAGGGGCGAAAAGGCACGCTCTGAGGTGCTCAAAAGTGCCCTCCAAGTAAACTTTTAACACAGTGGAAACTTCACCCCATTCCAACATGTGGGGTACAACAAAAACTGTGCCACTCTCCAAGAGAAAAGACAGGACAGTTTGCCAGGAAGAAACATGCAAGAACCTCATAATGCACTCAATAAGGGGAAGAGGAACTGAACTCAGATAAGACCAGGTCCATGACATAGGCAAAGTCCCAGTCTCACTGGATGTATGCACCAAGAGCCTCTTGAACCTCCACAGGGAAAATCTGAGAGGTGGAAAACCACCAGAAGGATGAAGAGGTGGAACCTAATGGAAAGAATTCGGGGGGGGGGGGGGGGGGGGGGGGGGGGGGGGGGGGGGGAGGGGGGGGGAACTCAAATCAAACTCATACTGGGAAGGGGGATAAGAAAACCTAATCCTGCATCAGTGAATCCTGCCCTGAGGGCACCAAGGCCCAAGCAGAATCAAACGGGGCCCAAGAGCCCCAAGCTAACTCTCCCCCCCCCCCAGCCCCGAAGGCCTTAAACCCAGCCCCCAGGGCACAGCTGTTCTCCATGGCTTGCATCCTTGAAGAAAAAGCAGATTGGCAAACGAGCGGCACGTTGGTTTGACGACATTTTGCTTGTTGTATTTTTTCTTGGGGAGGGGGGGGGGGGGAAGAGTTCTTGAACTCTGTTTGGTCTTGATTTACAATGTTCAACCAGTTGGGGTTAGTTTTAGGGCACCTACCTTTCTGGGTGCCTTCCCTGGTCGATGGCAGACATGTATATACTCTCAAAGAGTGGAGTTTTCATAGGTTATTGCTCCCTGCGCCTCTCTGAGGGAGCTAGATTCTGGCTCGTGGTTCTCAGTAGGTAGAACTCCATGTGACTCATGCTCCCTGACTAATATAGCATATATTAGTCCGATAGCTCCAGAGAGCCAACAGGGCTGCTAACATAAAAGTGAAATTGGAAAGTGTAGTATAGGATCCATGTAAATGGCCCTTAATGTGGTCCTCTGGTGATAGTGTACTATCAAGAACCACCCCCAAGATCTCTATAATTGTCCAACTCATTTAATGTCTTTTTCACATAATTTTATGTTATAAGTGGATTATTTTCTCCTATTCTACATCCTGTAATGTGGTATTTATTCACATTGAATTTCATCTGCTATGTGTTGCTCCATTCATATATTTTGTCCAAGTCCTCTAGAAGGGCATGGCAATTGTCAAAGTCTTTTATTAGCCCTAATAGTAATAATAACGATTCATTTTATCTGAGATAGGAAGCCTGAGTACATACATACATTTGGCTTATACTTAGGTCTCTAAAGATCTAACTACTGACCCTCTGGCAGATGTAACCCACCCCCCACAACAGTTGCTAAATTCTCAGATACCTATTTATTGCCAAGTGAACAGCCGTATTATGTAAAAGGAAACATGTCCAACAATTTCTGTCTCACCTGGGAATTGAACCGAGATCCCAGATTGTGAGTTGAGAATGAAGCCAACTGTACTAGGAGACCCTTTAGTAGCTTAACATCATCAGGAAACATGTTCATATTCTTGGAAAACCCCTGTGGTTTATTATATAGACAATGAACATTAGTATTGCCAATACTGAACCTTGTGTTTTCCACTAGCAATTTCTCCAGTCTGATACCCATTCTACTCATATGGTATTAATTATTTTCTTGTGATTTGACTACCATACTTGTCAATGATTCAGGTCTATAATTTACAAGATCTACTCTGCTATAATTTTTGAAAATCGGAATTTTTCTTTTTCTGTATATCATCTGAGTTTCCTGAATATAAGGGAGCCTGATATATATATACATTGTAGTGGAATACTCAGTTTAGGTGTGCATTTCCTCAGAATCCAAGGTGAGACTTCACCTGGGTCAACTGCTTTCTTTCTTTCTTTCTAGCTCATTAAGCAGTTTTTCTATCTCATCTCTAGACACTTCTATGTGCTCATATACAAGGAAATCACAATATGATTTATCCATGAGAAAATATTTTGGGTAGGATAGGGATCAATCCAGCATTCTGGATAACATAGGATGCACACCTTAACCCGTGGACCACAATATGCCAAAGGTTATTTAGCCTGGGAACTGCCCGAATCCACTAGGAATCGGGAGGCACCGAACTAAGCCAATCCACATTTTATAAATAACCCGCATACACTTTCGTGTAGGTCATGGATTTTTCTACCACATGCCCCCTTCAAAAACACACAGAAATCCCAATAATGTGATATATCAATCAGAAAACCTTTGTCAACAAATGCCTTTTGCATAGAATTTGTATTTGTCTTTCCCTGTTTGTCTGTTGCATTGTCTGTATCGATTGAACTGTCTGTGCTGTCTGTTACTTTTTCCTGTCTGCTGTTATCTCTATTCGGGTATACTGATTCAGTTTTTACTTTCCTTAATTTCAATTTTTTGGTGTTGTTTTATCCCTATACTTAGTAACTATATTGTTTAGTGCATGTAAGCACAATTTTTAATATTTTAATTAGAGAGTGTAAGACTTAGATTATCTGGTGTTGCATGAACTCCTTGTGTCTGTCACAAAAAAAATTTGCTTTGTGCTAATCATTCCTTTGTTTTATTTTAATAATATACTTATTGCTGCTTGAGGCTTTTAAATCAACTCCTGTCAGTGGACACTGACAAAACTGAAGTTACCTCAAAGAGCATCAACAGTTACAGCAACATGTATGAGACTTTGAGTGATATTGAGGATCACTCCAAGTCCAGTCATGCATCTATGCTAAAGTATAACTGTATAGCGGCATTCAAGGCCACATACCTGCACTTGGTTGAGATATTGGGAATACCCCAACTTTATGCTTCCTTTTATTCATCTCTATTTGTAAAAATACACAGACTGCATACTCTTGTGCTAAGAACACTAATATTGATTAACAATCATCGGGAGGATAAAAAACAGATAAACACAGAAGATTTTAACTAAAGGGGATATGGCTTGGCTACTATATTTTAGGAGAGATGTTTCCATTGATTAAATCTTCTTGTCGATATGTTAAAGGTATTTTTCTGTGTTCACTGTCGCACAGAAATATTATGAGGAACAAGCAATTAGTAGGTTTCCTCTCATAACAGTCACAGTTTGATTGAATGAAAATAAAAGCTATTGTGCCAATGTAAAGAAATGTAAAGCCAAGCATTTTGAGCGATAGTTTGGACCATGAAAGAGAAAGAAAGAGAAGATTGAGATTATGGAGAGATGTAATGGAAATAAAACGTTAATCTAAGTATTGCTAGGCTATTTTAGACTAAGATCGTACTGACCTTAGACACAAGGAGAAATTTTTGTGGACTACCACTGACCTGTAGCACAAAGCCATGAATGCGAACGCAAAGAACACCCCACCCATTCCAGACACCAACCCAATTACGAGGTAGACTGTATCACTCCCCTGCTGCCCGACTGTGGCATTATAGTGCATTCGCCACAGACATTGGAGGCAGAAGTAGCGAGATGGGTTGGAGATAGGATTTGAGATTACCGTTGAAATTTGTTGTGGATTGAGTGATTTTTGTATCCACAATCACGGGTTGTGCAGTCAGGATCAGTTGGTTAGGCCACACAAGTGGTAATCAGGATGATGGCGTGGTGATGAGGAGTCAACCAATATTACGGTCGCAGCCAAGATGGCGGACCGAACAGGATGGCAGACCGGGCGAGCGAGTTGTTGAGAGGGGGAGGACACAGCACCCAGGGCGGGAAAAGAGGAAGGGGAAACAAAAGTAAGAACACAAACTTTTACAATACAGCCCTTCACACAATAAGTAGCAAGTCAATATCCTATTAGGTTGTGTGTCCTTGCCACCTGCTAATGGTTTTAGGACCCAGCATTGTCTAGGAATTCTTTTCTCACTGGACAGAAAAAGAATTTTAGATAGCTTATCAAATCGAGCATCAACCAAAAAAAATGCAAATGGAATCATTAAAAGATAGTATCTTACAACTGTAAGTAATAATAACTTTTAAAATAAAAAATAAAAAGTAAACAGTAATAACTTTTTTATTTGCTTTTTTGATAAACCTCTGCTTATCCGTCTACTGCGAGCATGAAATACACACTGAACAAGGAAATTTTCTTGCTACACTGCAAAACGTTGCAAGCTAGGTACAGTATAAGTAACATGAAGAGACAGAAGCACCAATCAGCAACCCATTGAGCTGAAAATAAGTTGATGGCATCATGACAGATGGAGTACCTTTAAGGCAAAGACGGCACATTAACACAATCCACAGGTGGTCCACAGGATTTCAACATGAACTTCAGTCACATCAAGAATCATCTGACCCAAAACAAAGCCCAATACATAATTCACAAAAAACCTCTTGGAATTTCTGATAGGGGTAGATAAAAACCCTTGCTTTCAAATAAACCAAATACAGTAAATTTATGCAGAGACTATCGAGTTTCCCATGACTAACATAATCCAAAAAATATTCATGAAACAAAATTGTTACATTAATTTCATATTATATATGCCATTTAAGATTCCTATTGTTACGAAGTCTGTTTCTAAATGATTTGAGAGCCCATTAAATCTGTATGATAATGAGAACTCTGTGATGGATCAGACAAAGGGAAAGGGGGGGGGGGGGGAGGGGAGCTGCAGTTGACACAGCCAAGGAACTGTGCATACGAGTCCATCTACAGTACACAGCAGGGTGTTATTTTTCGTTAACAAGAAAACATGGCAAAGACACCAGGGGAAGACAGTATGGGTACCTGTAGCAAACTGCTATTAGAGTAAAAAAAAAAAATACACCTCCTACTCCGCCTACAAGTAAGAGCACCATAGCCAGCCTTCCAAGACCTTCAGTGTTGCCATTTTTACCTGCTTTTGGAATGTACAAGAGACACATTAAAGAAGGTGCATAAGTAATGTAGAATCATCACATAGTTATTAATTTAATATAATAGATTATATTTTGGTTCAGTGTGATAATACAGGAGGTGTATGCTTTATCCTCAAAAATTATCTTTATCAAAAGACTTTGACTTGTGAAAAGTTGAGCTGCAACCAACTCTGGATAATCAAAAACCTGAATAAAATGCAAATGAAAAATCATAATAAAAACTAAGTAGAAGGTATATAATGCTTAGGTTTATCAACTACAGTATTTTGAAATACTATGGCAAAATTCTTTATTACCTGTACTTGGATTTTAACATTTCTGCTTAAATAAAAATTATATCATACTTCTTATATAAAGTACCTTAGAGTTGACCCCAAAAGAATAAACTGCAATTTCCCAATGTTGCCAATTTAAAAACAGTTGTGTGGCTCAACATTGCCAACCATTCAAGCTCACCATATTGCGTGTTGCGTCCTTGGTTTAGTTGCCAGGAGTTAGTGGATGCATTAGATGGCGAGGTCTCTGTGGGGGGCCCTGGTTGCCCTAGAAGATCATCTGGAGGAGGTGTGGTGACAGTGGTGTTGTCGAAAATGGAGCAGTCTACCCCAGTCCAGAACGGCGTGCAGAAGCAGGAGTTGATATTGGAGCACACCTGTTAAGGTTGTCAATGGTCAACTCGCAAACCTGACTCGTTGTCCACCGTCTCAGGCCAGAGTACGTTCAGAGGATTCCCCATAAAATATTATATATATTATATAAATATATATTATATATTATATATATACATATATACATATATATATACATATATACATATATAATGTGTATATGTGTATATACATATTATATATATGTCGTACCTAGTAGCCAGAATGCACTTCTCAGCCTACTATGCAAGGCTTGATTTGCCTAGTAAGACAAGTTTTCCTGAATTAATATATTTTCTCAAATTTTTTTCTTATGAAATGATAAAGCTACTCATTTCATTATGTATGAGGTCAATTTTTTTTTATTGGAGTCAAAATTAACGTAGATATATGACCGAACCTAACCAACCCTACCTAACCAAACCTATCTTTATAGGTTAGGCTAGGTTAGGTAGTTGAAAAACAATTCATGAAAACTTGGCTTATTAGGCAAATCAGGCCTTGCATAGTAGGCTGAGAAGTGCGTTCTGGCTACTAGGTACGATAATATATATATATATATATATATATATATATATATATATATATATATATATATATATATATATATATATATATATATATATATATATATATATATATACACACATATATACACACATATATATATATATATATATATATTATATCTCACTGACACACACACATATATTGTATTAATTTAAAACAGTACGCTTCAATTTGCATTTTTTTGTGTGTGTGTTTACTTATCATGCCTAGTCAAAGATATGTAATTCAAGAAGACTTGAAAAATATGAAACATTGTAATAAATATTTAGGTTTTCTCTTTATTTACAGTATTATATATACTGTATGAAGTATTTAAAAACAAAATTTATTTATATTACACTAAAAGTATATTAGTGTGGATATTAGGCCAGTTTATAACTATCAAATATGTATACCATCAATACAAAGTACTGTACAAGGAAAATTTGGTATTTCAAATAAATTACTTCAGGTAGCCAGAGGTACATTAGAAAATTGACAAAAAATTTAATAACCAATGGCAACGTGGATGCTAATTATTTTTATCAACATAAGGCAGCTTCAGTCAGAGCAATAAAACTTTTATAAATATTTTCATTTGAAAAGGGAAATAGTAATACACTATAATTTGTGGTTGCCATATGATATCAACATTGATACTCCAACTCACAACTTTAAAACATTTAAAATTAAGACACCATAGTAAGCTATAAATAATTCATTGTGTTTTTTTTTATAGTGTTCATGCTAATCTGGAAAAACTTGCATAATAAACAGGTATTGGTTGAATACAAAATGAATCTTTATGAGCCCTATCATTTGACTGCCTCCTAAAGTAAGACCTGCTGTGTCCTATGAACAAGGATCTTGGATAGGCAGACATAAGACATTTTAAGCACCGTAGGAGAGAGACCCTTGTGTAGGGAAAAATAGCAGTGTTAAATGTTGAAAAACAGTCTGGAACTCTGACCCCCTTTCAGATGCACAGAGCATCATCTCACAGGAAAATGTAATCTCCTAAAAACCAATGTAAACAAAAGGGATAAAATGGTTAAAAAAACCCAGCGTTGAATGTAATGAAACGTCATTTTCTGGGTGAGCCCCAGAAGCTCCCTGCAGCTTATCGGGCTAATGTATGTTATATTAGACCGAGACATTTGCTAAGGAGTTCAGACCTACCAGGGACCAGTGCCAGAACCTGGCCCCTTCAGAGAGGTTTCAGGGAGCAATGGCCCAGGAAAAACCCCTTATGGTTGGGGTTTTCCTTATCTGCCATTGACCGGGGTCAGACACCCAGAAAGGTAGGCATGACAAAACAAACCCCACATGGTAAAAAACTAAAACAAAAAAACGAACAGACAGGTAGAAACTCCCTACAATTCCAAGGAAACAAGCAAACATCACACTTTACTGCCTTGCCGATCGTCCGCGCAGCCCTCACCGCCCTGAGAGAGGGAGGGGGAGCCCCGGACCTCACCACGCCGGCTGCCTAGCATCAGTTCGGAAGCTAAGCTTCAACCAACGCAAAAAAAACGCCGACCGGTAGGAGGGAGGGTTGCCAGGGAGCCTCCAGGGCTCACCCAGAAAATGGCGTTTGATTACATTCAACGCTGGTCTTCTATGGGGGAGCCCCTATGGCTCCCTGGAGCTTCATACCAAAGAGAAGGAAAAGAAAGGGCTGACCCGGGAGGTGGCCGCCACAAACTCCGCAACGCGAAGCCGAGACAACAGGCTGCAGCAAGAAATGCACAGGAACAGACACGCGCATAAAGAACGGGAGGCCAGGAACCTGTGCGACCCTCAAATACTCGCGCCCGAAATGAGCCCTATATGTCACCAACACAGCAGCGAAAGCTGCAAACGTCTGAACAGCACGGGCGCAAGGATAGACTGCAGGCTGGAAGACTTCAAATCTCTGCGGACGACCTGTGAGACCCAAGCCCTGAAAAAGAGAATGAGGGAAACCGGATCAACCCAAAGCGCATCCCCAGACACAGTACGCAGGTAACAGCAAAGAGGAGCAACCGGACAACACAGGATGCACCCCCGGCCGAACCAATCAAGCATCAAAAAACCAAGGACCCCTTCGGAAAGCAGCCATCTCGACCGTCGCCAGAAAGCCGGAGAAAGGCTGCAAACGTACAAATCTACCACCAGTACAAAAGAGGTTAGGTTAGGTAGCCGAAAAAGTTAGGTTACGTTAGGTTAGGTAGTCGAAAAACAATTAATTCATGAAAACTTTGCTTATTAGGCAAATCGGGCCTTGCATAGTAGGCTGAGAAGTGCGTTCTGGCTACTAGGTACGACATTTTATTTATATATATATTTATATACAGTATATATATATATATATATATATATATATTTTATATATATATATATATATATATATATATTATATATATAAAACACACACACGCGCACATGCAGATACAAACATGTGTGCACACACAGCAGCAGGGATGACCCCCTCAATTATAGACCTGAATCATTGACAAGTGTAATAGTGAAAGTATTGGAAAAGCTAATCAAAACTAAATGGGTAGAACACCTGGAGAGAAATGATATAATATCAGACAGACAGTATGGTTTTCGATCTGGAAGATCCTGTGTATCGAATTTACTCAGTTTCTATGATCGAGCCACAGAGATATTACAGGAAAGAGATGGTTGGGTTGACTGCATCTATCTGGACCAAAAAAAGGCTTTCGACAGAGTTCCACATAAGAGGTTGTTCCGGAAACTGGAAAATATTGTAGGGGTGACAGGTAAGCTTCTAACATGGGTGAAAAATTTTCTGACTGTTAGAAAAATGAGGGCAGTAATCAGAGGCAATGTATCGAAATAGAGAAATGTCACAAGTGGAGTACCACAGGGTTCAGTTCTTGCACCAGTGATGTTTATTGTCTACATAAATGATCTACCAGTTGGTATACAGAATTATATGAACATGTTTGCTGATGATGCTAAGATAATAGGAAGGATAAGAAATTTAGATGATTGTCATGCCCTTCAAGAAGACCTGGACAAAATAAGTATATGGAGCACCACTTGGCAAATGGAATTTAATATTAATAAATGTCATGTAATGGAATGTGGAATAGGAGAACATAGACCCCACACAACCTATATATTATGTGAGAAATCTTTAAAGAATTCTGACAAAGAAAGAGATCTAGGGGTGGTTCTAGATAGAAAACTATCACCTGAGGACCACAAAGAATATTGTGCAAGGAGCCTATGCCACGCTTTCTAACTTCAGAATTGCTTTTAAATACATGGATGGCGATATACTAAAGAAATTGTTCATGACGTTTGTTAGGCCAAAGCTAGAATATGCAGCTGTTGTGTGGTGCCCATATCTTAAGAAAGACATCAACAAACTGGAAAAAGTGCAAAGACATGCTACTAAGTGGCTCCCAGAACTGAAGGGCAAGAGCTACGAGGAGAGGTTAGAAGCATTAAATATGCCAAAACTAGGAGACAGAAGAAAAAGAGGTGATATGATCACTACGTACAAAATAGTAACAGGAATTGATAAAATCGACAGGGAAGATTTCCTGAGACCTGGCACTTCAAGAACAAGAGGTCATAGATTTAAACTAACGAAACAAAGCTGCTGGAGAAATGTATGAAAATTCACTTTTGTAAACAGAGTGGTAGACAGTTGGAACAAGTTAAATGAGAAGGTGGTGGAGGCCAAAACCATCAGTAATTTCAAAGCATTATATGACAAAGAGTGCTGGGAAGACGGGACACCATGAGCGCAGCTCTCATCCTGTAACTACACTTAGGTAATTACAAGTGTACACATAGAGAACAACATAGAGCACAGAGATGTCTAGAGACGAAGTGGGAAAAATGCTCAAGGAGCTAAGTAAGAACAAAGCAGTTGGTCCAGATGGAGTTTCACCATGGGTTCTGAGAGAATGTGCACCTGAGCTCAGCATTTCACTTTAACTGATTTTTCAGGCATCCCTGTTTACAGGAGTTGTAGCTGATGTGTGGAAAAAGGCTAACATAGGTCCAATCAACAAAAGTGGAAGCAGGGAAGACCCCCTTAATTATAGACCTGTATCATTGACAAGTGTAATAAGTCAAAATATTGGAAAAAAACAATTAAAAGTAAATGGGTAGAGCACCTGGAGAAAAACGATATAATATCAGACAGACAGTGTGGTTTTTTATCTGGAAGATCCTGTGTAACAAACTTACTCAGTTTTTATGATCGAGCACAGAGATTTTACAGGAAAGAGATGGTTGGGTTGACTGCATCTATCTGGACCTAAAAAAGGCTTTCGACAGAGTTCCCCATACGAGGTTGTTCTGGAAACTGGAACATAATGGAGGGGTGACAGGTAAGCTTCCAACATGGATGAAAAATTTCTTGACAAAAAAATGAGGGCCGTAATCAGAGGCAAGTTATCGGATTGGAGGAATGTCACGAGTGGAGTAC